TAAATTAAGAATACATCATATTTTAGGAGACTATTATGAAAACCAGAGTGACCAGAACAGTGAAAGGAGCCAGTGCAGTTCATATGTGCATTACATTCTTAACCAAATAGTCTGGGCTCATCCGTCACTTTGGCACCAACAGGATGTGGTATCAGCAGGGGATTAAACACACAACCCCTATGAATCTCCTGTCAGTGGTGGGGATGTATATAAAAAAAAAAAAAAAACAAAGTCCCCACTCCACCCCCGATACCAACAAGAAACAATACAGAGTAGGATAAACAAACCTTAACCCTCTCCTTACTAAAGTGTCCTGGATGTTAAGAAGTAAACAAAGAACCTGTTAATTCCTCCCTGTAATACTGTTATCAGCAAAAAAGAGAGTTGATTTCTGCAATTCACACAGTTTATCCATTCTTTCTTATATGGCCATGAAGACATGATTGCATGTTATATCCATATAGCTGGCAACTAATATACCAAACTGAAATATTCAGTGTCACAATGCAATGCTTAAAGTAATTATAACGTGCCAGGATACTTATAGAAATGTGGATATTGTAGTATACCCCACTTCCTAATGAAGCACTTAAAGCAGCTCTGTCAACCCCCAATGGCTTGGGTTTTTTGTGGTCCGGTGGTGCAGAAGAGATGAGTTATGCTTAACTGATACTGTCCCTGTGTATATTATTATTATTTTATTATTTATACCACCATCTTGGATTTTTGACTATACTCTCACCCAGCCATAAAGGAGTATGTCACGCGTTTGCCAAGTTAGGTATTTACCATTAGATAATGTAGTCCCTATACAATCTCATAAGATATCATTTGACTGTGTTGGAATTCATAACACAGTCTTTATTAGAAATTCATAAAGATTTTACCTTTGTGAAATGCTCAATTTTTATTGGGGTTAGGAGGGAGGGGGGAGAAGGGGACGACAGAGCTGCTTTAAAACTGAGCTCAGATCCAGGCAGAAGGAATATGTGTCAATCACTGGGCCCTCTGCTGACACATTTTACTTGCTGTATCAAGGGACTGCAGTTAAATGAGTCTTTCAAGTAATTAGGCAGAAAACAAACAAACTGCAATTGCATTTTTCCCCCCTGAAAGCGATTCAGGCTAGGAGGTAAGCATTCTTGGAACTCTTGCTGTCCGACAGCCATCAGTGCAAAGCTGAAAAAACAACATGACCTGGAATCTTTGCAGAGCACTGGGTATGCGCTTTAGACAGTAGAAACATACTTTATAATATGTATCTCTGAGCTATTGCCAGACAGTACCATCTACTGCAAGAAGGCATAGGATTATAACATACTCATATGAACTTTTATTTGGCAGCTTAGATGGACTGGTGAGAAGACTAATTTATGCTCAAATGTCTTCCAAGTAAACCTTTGTGTGTGTTTTTGCAGATTTGTTTTTACTCATATTTAAACAGTAAATAATTTTTAATGTTCTGTTATTGTGTTCATTGTTTCCTGTAGGCCTGTTCATGATGGGATCAAGTCTACCAAAGAGATGATCATTGTTTACCATAAAAACAGCATACTTGTGTATTTTTATATGAAATATTATGTTCTGTATGGACATGTTTCCTGTTTATAATCTCTCCGTATAACACAATAAATTACTTATATTATTATAAATACTATTGATGTACAATGTTGGTGCTGATAAAAGGAAAACTCCACGCACCATGACCAGTTTAGATTGGTTTGACAACTTATCTGGGTCCGAGATACACTGATACATCTGGTTTCCTCATGAAGGATAAGCCATATGGTTCTATTCAGCTAAGCATGGCTAATCCAGGACAAGCGTATTAACTAAGAACGTCAATGCTCATGCATGACCTCGCTTAGCTCAGTAGAGCTAACTAGATTCTACTGCAGAAGAATCCAGGAAGAAGAGTATATGACCGAATTCAAGTAAATTATCAAACTATTTTTAAACAGTTTGACAAATTACACTGGGACAGCACCAGGGCATTCCTTGTACCGCTACAGCAGGCTGTTCTAGTTTTGGTACTTGGAGTACTTTTTTGTATGAAATTTTACTTTGTACCAAAGATCCTTTAATCAGTGGGTGAATTAAAGTGTTACTTATTGAACTCTACACACTTTGTTTTCAGATTGCAAATTACAATTAAGCATTATCACAACAGATAATCCCTAAATGTAACAGCCATCTAGTTTATCATGACATATCCTGTTGAGTTTAATGACAAGTCAGAATGCTACATGTGGTTCGTTTCCACAAATGATGTAAGTAGTACAGTTACAAACTGTGTTGGTCGCTAAAGTTAGGGCAAAGTGTTTGGACACTGCAGTTGAAGCTAAATCAGGGGACTAAGTGTGGGGTGGGAGGGGGAAGTTTTCAAGTGGAGGAACTCCATTTTATTGTAATCCTCTATTCCACTGTAATACTGAGAGCCCCATCACACATGTTAGCTGTGACAATGTCACTTGGAGTTAACCCCTTAAGTACTGAAGCAGTTGTACAAGTTGTGATCAAAACAAAACCTTGAATTTGGGCTATATTGTTCAGGTGAAAAAAGTATTCCATGTCACATCAAATATTTGTATATTAAACATAATTTAATCTGAAAAAAACATAAAACAAATTGAAAAATTAAGAAATTTTATTTTTTTAGTTCTGCATGGCATTTTAACTGTGAATGTCATAATACTGTTACCTGTTACTGCAATAAGGTACACATATTTGTATTCAGTGATGTCTCACGAGTAAAACAGTACCCCCAATGTGCAGGTTTTATGGTGTTTTGGAAAGTTACAGGGTCAAATATAGCACATTACATTTTTCAGTTTATACACATTGAAATTTGCCAAACTGGTTATGTTGCCTTTGAGACCAAGTCGTAGCCCAGGAATGAAAATGAACCCCGTGATGGCATACCATTTGCAAAAGTAGAAAACCCAAGGTATTACAAATGGGGTATATCCAGTCTATTTTAGTAGCCACTTAGTCACAAACACTGGCCAAAGTTAGCGTTCATATTTGTTTTCGTGTGAAAAATGAAAAAAACTAATTTGAACGCTAATTTTGGCCAGTGTTTGTGACTAAGTGGCTACACCTTGGGTTGTCTAGTTTTGCAAATGGTATGCCATCATGGGGGTAATTCTCATTCCTGGGCTACCATATGGTCTCAAACGCAAGATTACCAAACTGGCAAATTTCAATGTGAAAACAAAGTAAATGCAAGCCTTACATTTGACTCTGTAACTTTTGAAAACACCATAAATCCTGTACATGGGGGGTACGGTTTTACTCGCGAGACTCCACCGAACACAAATATTAGGGTTTCAAAACAGTAAAATGTATCACAACAATGATCTAATCAGTGAAAGTGCCGTTTATGTGTGAAAAATGCAAAAAATTATGGGAAAAGCAAGTCTTATGGCTTGACTGGTGGGCAGATTTTTGTTTAACATTGTATTAACTTGCGATAGATAGATAGATAGATAGACATACATATATGTATTTATAACATCATTCTAAATGTATTTTATTTAAAATATATATATTTTATTTTATATTTTTGCAGTGCGTAAGCTTGGTACAATCAGGCTTGAGGTACCCCAACGGCATTCCTCAAGCATAATGTCACTTAGTACAATTGGGGTAAGAAGTATAACATGCACATTTTTATAATAGTGTAAGCAGAAGAAATAATCAGAGGAGGGACAAAGAGGGAGAACATAAGAAATACAAGCTTGGCCATATGATTATGAAGCTATGACATGGATATATATCAATTAATGAGTAAGCTAAGACGATTTATGTGATAAACAACTTAGATGTTACGCTGGGTGCCACAGCAGAGATGCCGGAGCTGGCAAAGGGTAATATAACTCTGTTGTAAGCACAATGCGGTTGCCCGGAGGGGGCCTTCCCCACTCTGTCTTAAGACTCTGCTTTATCGGCTTTTCGGATGAGGAGGTAGGGGTTGCCATGTGGGCCTTCAGCCCCAAATCTGGCAAATATAGCCTCTAGCGAGGTCATTGTGCGTTTTCAGCCATGCCTCAACGGCCTCTGTGCAGCAAGCAAGCGGGGATCGAGATTACCCCCAGCGGTCTGTATTTGCAGCTTGTGGAGCAGGGAGAGCGGCTGTCTCCTCCGAGCTCTGTCTTTGTAAGCCTCAGATTGGCATTTCTGGCTCTCGGTCACGGAGTAGACTGAGTGGGGTATCTATCGAGTCAGCGATATCTCCCCCGGGTGATAGGGTCGCATGAACGCGTGTACAGGCTGGTTACCTGGGTGGAATCCCCGTTTTACAGCTGAATGTGCCAGAGCTCGCCTTCCACGCATCTGGTCGGCTTGGCAGTCAAGCCCTGCCCCCATTAGAAATGTATTTTGATTTAAATATATATGTAAATTAATATCAAAATACAGTTAGAACAAATTTAAACCGGTATGTATATTTTTAAAAATGTAATTACATTTTTTAAATTTTATTTTATATTTTTTTTAAAATGTAATTACATTTTTTTAATTTTATTTAATTTTTTTTCAATGTATTATTTTCATTATATATATATATATATATATATATATATATAATTAACATCATTCTAAGCGTATTTTAATATTAATTTTATATATATATTAATATTAAAATACTCTTAGAATAATGGATTGTGTATGTGTATATAAAAGTACTTAGATCATATATATATATATATATATATATATCCACAAATATAAGTGCTTTTATATACGTTAAAAATTATTTTACAACTTTTACTAACTTTTTAAAACTTTTTTACAGGCTCTAGGGGGACCCCGCAATCACATGGCCCGGGAGGGTCGGATCGGGTATAAGGGGTCTGCCTAAGCTCCCAGGTAGACCCCAGGATCGTGACCGCTTGCGTGGGATCGGCGGGAACCCGGTAAGTATGAAGGACTTCGGGGATGTTTTATGTGGACTTTTTTTTTTGCCCCCAAAATTATGAATTCAGTGGCTTGTTAGAAATGTAAAGTGAAAACATCACTTTCACTCTCTTGTTTGCACCACTTAAAGGGAGACTCTAGAAACCATAACCACTTCATCTTATTAACAGGGCCAGTTTAATGTAAGGGCTATTGCAGTTTAAGCTTCAGGCCTACCCACTGCAATAAGCCATACAATGCCAGACCTGTGTTTTCATTTCCCCTCCAAAAAACACCAATACACAATAAGCCTAAGCTGCCTTTTTTTTAGTATTTCTTTTTTATTGATGTTAACACCATAATCACATCAAAAGCTGAAGTGGTAATTGTGCCTAGTGCAGACTACCTATTATTTTTATAATTTATCTTCTTGTTATTTTTTCTTATTTATATCCTGTAATACCCACAAAATCAGTTTTGGTTATATATTTTTATAAAAATGTCTTCTGGTTTTGGTCCCTTTCTTGGCTGGCTAATTCCTGTTATTCTTTAATGCAAAAGGGTCACCATTTCACACAAAGTACTGAAGATTGTTTCCCTAAAAACATTTTAACTCAAGTACGTGCATTCTATTGAAGTGATTGTACAGTCAAACTCAACTCATAAACCCCCCAAAACAACAAATTAAAGTGAATATTATGTCCCACGATGCCTGGGCCTTTTACTTAATCTCCACTCAAAAAATAATGTATCAATTTCAAAATAGTATAGTTAATGACAAGCACAAAATGAATACAATGGAATAAATAAGGAAGAGGTGCTGAGTAACACAGAATTAAAATAATGGAGTGTTTCAAATGATATCTAAAACTGATTGAAGAACAAATCGATTCAATCAGTACTGCTGTCCAGTACCAAGTGGCGAATCCTTCTGTGCAAAGAAAATTATTATTAAGCATTTAGGTTCATGTAATCAACATACAGCTCACTGTAAGGGTGTTTTTGTTTTTTAATGGATTGCTGGGCACTGTGTGAGCCATTGGACTAATCTGATGTCCCCACATGTTTGTAGAACCATCTTGAGTAGATGTGTATAAAATAATAATAATAATGTGTGTCTTGCTATATGATGCATCATTCTGCTGAAAAAGACCAGCTGAATATAAATTGACATGCACGTTAAACAACAATTATTATGTACATTAGGCTACAAAAATGATACTCATTTGGTTTTAGGAAGTTTAATTCATGGAAAATTAATATCTCTTTTATCATTACTCGAGAGATTGTTGTGCTTGAAAATCCCAACAACTACCTAAGCAACACCTATCTTCAGTCAGACACTTGTAGCTGAAAGACGCATAACAAATTATTTTTGTCTACTGCTGTTATTTTTTTGTCAAATATTTTTTATTGTAAGGTTTTCCTTTTTAACAATAATAATCATTGTAAAACAATGAAATATATGGAATAAAGAAAACATATAAATCAAACAAACAAAAAGAAACGAGGGGGAGGGAGAATACCCATCCATTATAAAATTGATAACATATGCTTTATGAAAAACACTACATAGTGTCAAATAAGGTGTTATGTTCTCTTATTTATTGCTCAGATTTAGGGTGCTGTGCATATTTACCAGATTTTGTGAGCTTCTGAGATATCTCCTTGGTAGGAGCACAGATGATGTCACACAGCAACTGGAAGACACATCTTGCGTGTTTGTGAGCCTCTCTTCCAATGGTAGGCAAGCTGTGCTCTTGTTTTTTTTTTTTTTTATTCTTTATTTTTTCGTGCATTCAATAAACAAGTGAGTTTGTGCTGCCCCAACAGCTAGTACAAACTGGGCATCAAATATAGTATGACATTTATGTGGACATTTAAGTGAGTACAGTGCACATTTTATGAATAAAAGTAGGCTGTGTTAGTCTAAGGTCACCGATTGAAGAAAAAGTAATAATGAAAAAATAAAAAAATAAGTGGGGGGTTGGAGGGGAGATGTCTCTCTCTAGGCTCATGTAGAATAATACTGTACACCAGCATAACAAAGGAGTGGGACACCTAACCATCTTAACTGCTGTGCATAGTAGCCCCATCTTCTATTGTATTGTTCATGGTAAGGGTAGAGTTGTCAATACGCACATGCGTGGTAGGCACATCTGTGCTTTTAAGTGGTCTTAGCTCGTTGGTTGGAAGCATGGGGATCTTTATGTGTTCTAGACGTTGAGTCTTTTGGTTAAAGGCTGTCCAGGAGAGCGAGGCAGGGTTTAATGCTGCTTAGTGCTCTATCATCGGTGGGTGCTCGGGGGAAGGGTTTGTGCCCGAGACTAAGGCAATGCTTGTGTACTGGTCTGGGGTGGGGGGGGGGTGGGTTCATGTTTGCATGTTCCGAGACCAGGTGAAAGGATCGCTCACCTCCTTGGTAGGAGTGGGTTGGCAGCCCTAGCAGCCGCTATTTATTGGCTGTATGAGTGGGCAATGGCCATAATGGTAGTCATGATGGGGCGCTAGGTGGTGGCTTTTGTGGGGTGCCTTCTCTAACCTATAGGTTGCGCTTTTCGTAACGGAGGGGGAGTGCTCTCTGCAGCGGCAAGAGGGGCATGGGAGTCTGTCCTGCGTGCAGGGTACGATAGTGTTGTAAGAAACACCCAACAATTTCACCAAATACAAGGAAAACAAAACAAGTCATGAACAAAAGTTAAGAATAGAAAAATAAAAAACTCTGTGACCAGGTGTCATGTGGTCTGTTGGAGTCCGGTTGCTCCTTAGCCAGGTGGTTCTATCCTGCATGTCCCTGTGTTTCAGCCTGTGTCAGCAGCAGAGCGCGGCACAAATGGGACTATGTTGGGGATGTCCCAGGAGCAGTTAGGAGTCGGGTTGTGTGCTCTTGTTTTTACAGCAACATCCTTGATTCCGTGATGTTTAGCAACATAAGAGTAGCAAGTTGGTTCATCTTTATGCTCTAGGTGTTGCATGTATTACATTCTAACATAACTATATCTCAGTTTAGTGTACTGTTGTCAGCCCACGTTTATAAAAGGCGAAGAGAAAAATGTAAGGTATTTCTTGAGTTTATATACTCACAACAAAACGAATCAAGAGGCACAGGCTACCACACGCAGATGTAGACAGCTCACATTAGGAAGGTACGGCGAGACACTGTGGTTTAGGTTCCTTAACTGGAACAAACAGAAGTCAAAAACTTTCATGCCTACATGGACAGCAAACCACACTCAAAGCTTTCATAGATGTACAATAAAAAAAACTTCCATTAAAATTCAGCCACTGAGACACAGAGAAGACATCAGAACATTAGAAACATCAGATGTATTTCGTACCCTGTAGAACACTTCATCAAAGTTTGGTTTCGGGTTAAGACAGGTGAATTTCCTTGATCTAAAATGTAATGATATTTCTGGCAAAAATAAAAATACAACATATTACTCAGCAGATATGAAAGAGCAGGATGTGTGGCATTTCTGAAACAATCTGGACTCAGCACTCAGCATTAATCAATGCTTGTAGTTTTAGGCTTCCTTTGAAGTTTCAGTATGTTTGGCCAAGTGTTTGATCTCTTGCTTCATTTTCGCCATAAATGTCAGAGAGTCCTTCATAGTGGTGTCAATGCCTTACATAGTCAGGGAATAAAGGCTGGCACCGAGACATATTCCTCTTAGATCACCTGTCTTTAGCTCTCTGCACGTTATATCTGGAGCTGCAGGAGACCAACGGCTAATCCATTATTGGTACCCATTTGCGCAGAGTTGAGAGACATGTTGCAAGTATTCCATTCTGTTCCTCTAACGTTCACGTGGGGAAAAAATGCTCTTACTTTCTAATTTTAAGCACAGTTTCTCCTAATGGTCTTTCTGTCACTTTATATCATCCTAAGGCATTCACAGAATCCCACTCATGTCTCAGTCCATTACAGGAACCTGCTACTCACTCACTGGCTCCTACTCCAATTCTCAAATACTGATTACTCCGTAGAAATTGGAAACAGGCAACCTAACAAACAAGCTGGGGGCCAACTGCACTGCATTAAAGCAGAATTTGACCACTTGCTCTCTTTAATTATCCCTTGCTTGAGTCTCTACCATTATTTATGCCAGTATCTCCATATCTGGTGAATATGTATATACATATACAGGAGGTCAGGCACCAAACATGGAACATAAACCGCATATATACGTAGGGATACGGCCTGAGACTGACCATCGGGTAAAAACTCATATGCCATATCTGCACAAGCCAAATATGCACCAGCAATGCCTAATACCATTGTAATTAAGCACTGTCTCACAGTCACATTAACCGTATACTGTAATAAACTGATAAATAGCCTGTGTTATAACTCGCCGCAATGTTTTTCATGGAGGCCTGCGAGCCTCGCTTTCTGATTTCTTACTGCTTATTCTTCAATAAAATAAGATTAAAAAAAAAAAAAAATCTATGCCAGTATCTGTCTTTATACACACTGAAAAGAACTCTGTATTATAAATCATGGAAAACTATCATGGCTGTGATGAAACACTAATGTGTTTCTTATTTATATTAAAGCGGCTCTGTCACTGTTGAGTATTTCATAACGATATAGTCTTTATGAAATACTCATGCTGACTAAGTTGCAATTTCTTATTAGAAAACGTGACATTTAGAAAAGCGCCAACATATTGCACAGCGCAACTATTCTGTAATTAATAAAGATAATCACTTTATGAGGGATTAATTCAATGTTCACCTACCACAAATTCAAAAAGTAAAAAGGGAACCAAAAAAGAGAAATAATTTTGAAAAAATACTCCTGGCACCATAACCACTACTGCCCACAGTGTAGTTTGTCTAGCCATTTTAGAACAGTTTGACAATTTACCAGCGTCATACCAGGGGCCAGTGTTAGTATACCCTGCTTCCAAGGTTTGAATTTAAAGTTTAAGGACAATCCGTGTTGGTTGTGAAGTACATCTGCACCCAAGATGTTGTGGACCCCTGTCATTGGAATTAGGAAATTTGTACCACTGAGCTCTGTAAGCTCCACAGCTATAATGACTCGTGCCACTGTGACCACTACTATAGTGACACTGAACTTAAAGAAATGTAACTATCACTCCCTCTAACAATGTAACTATCACTCACGCTAACAATGGCTTACATCTTTAAACCTTCCATTTTTATGGCTCTTTATTACCTAACTGATTATAAAATCTATATAAAAACCCTAAAAATATAAAGAACAAAAGGCATGAAAGGCCAGGAGACGGGATTTATATAGAACAGAAGAGTTTTCTGAGGAAGATTTCATACCTGCTCCAGCTACAGCG